AGGAGGAGGAGGAGGAGGAGGAGGGAGGTGGGATGCGTCAACAACCACGAACAGACCACAAACCTGCAGGTTGTTTACAGTATGCGTATGTGTTGTTTACAGGTGCGTGTAGGTTGTTTTCATGCGTGTAGATTGTTTTCAGCTGTGTTTAGGGTGTTTACAGCATGTGTGCATCTGCGCATTGTTTACAGGTGTGTGTATAGGTAGTTTACAGGTGTGTGTGTAGGTTGTTTACAGTGTGTGTGTAGATTGTTTACATGCGCGATGTTTACAGGTGTGCTTGTTGACGCGATGAGGAGCGGACACTGGGTGATGTTTACAGCATGCATATAGGTTGTTTACAGGTGTGTGTATATTTTGTTTACAGTGTGTGTGTAGGTTGTTTACATGCGCGATGTTCACAGGTGTGCTTGTTGACGCGATGAGGAGCGGACACTGGGTGATGTTTACAGCGTGCGTGTAGGTTGTTTACAGGTGTGCATATAGGTTGTTTACAGGTGTGTGTATAGGTTGTTTACAGTGTGTGTGTAGGTTGTTTACATGCGCGATGTTTACAGGTGTGCTTGTTGACGCGATGAGGAGAGGACACTGGGTGATCCTGGACGAGCTCAACCTCGCTCCGACCGACGTGTTGGAGGCGCTCAATCGTCTGCTAGACGACAACCGTGAGCTGTTCATCACGGAGACACAGCAGATGGTCGCAGCACACCCACGCTTCATGCTGTTTGCTACGCAGAACCCGCCGGGACTCTACGGAGGTACGCACACGCAGGGGGAGGGGGGCTGTACGGAGGTACGCACGCACTGTGGGGCCCCCTAGTCACGATGTGTTACTCGACCCGTTTCCGTTTTTAATTGTAGAATTATGGGGCGTGCCCTTGTTTGCGAGATTTTTTTGGAGCGATTGCAGTGGTGCGTGTTTGTTGTAATGCTGTTCACGTTTTAGGGATACAGTTTGTCAAGGCAAAATTGATACAGATTTGCATGTTTTAGAAGAGTTGGATGTGAATGTATGAAATCACGTTCGTTATCGACGTGCAGGTCGTAAGATGCTGTCGCGAGCGTTCCGTAACCGCTTCGTTGAGCTTCACTTTGACGAGCTGCCGAGCGCAGAGCTGGAGACAATCCTTCACGAGCGATGTCAGCTGCCGCGCAGCTACTGCCGCAAACTCGTCACCTGCATGAGGGCGCTACAGGTACGTCATGGCCGCCGCCATGATGTTATTATTATTATTATTTTATTATTATTACTAATATTGTTATTATTATTATTATTATTGTTGTTGTTGTTAGTGTTTCATTATTATTAACATTATTATCCCCTGAATTTTATTATTGTTACTATTATTGTTATTATTATTATTATTATTATTATTATTATTAATGAGTGGTTTTTTCGCTTCTGCCAGATAGCTGGCTAGGAGTTTGTCAGTTAATGAGGAATTTCTTCATCAAGAATAAGGAATTTCCTTTGTAAGAAATAAGAAAAATCTGTCTATATGGAATAAGGTATTTCTTCATAAGGAATACGGAATTTCTTCATAACGAATGTGAAAGTCCTTCATAAAAAATAAAATACAAGACCTGACAAGGGAATCAATTCCTAAATAAAACACCATCCTCCGAAATGTCCACGTTTATATGCCCTACGCACATCCCGATGTCGGCGCGTAATGCTCGTGTGACCGCTGCTGCCCCTGCAGGTGCGGCGACGCAGCAGCGGTGTGTTTGCAGGCAAGCAGGGATTTATCACTCTGCGTGATCTCTTCCGCTGGGCGGAGCGGTACCGACGCGCGGGCGAGCAGACGGAGAAATACTACGACTGGGACCAGCACCTCGTGGACGCGAACGGTTACGCGGAGTACGACTTCGAACGGAGTTGCGACGTCAAATTACGATCGAAACCTCTCTCTCTCGGTGTCCCTCTCCTAGTCTCTCCTCTTCTCACTCTCTCTCTCTTTCTGTTCTCTTTCTCCTCTTCTCTTTTCTCCTCCACTCTCTCTCTCTCTCTCTCCTCTTCTTCCTCTCTCTCTTTACTCTCTCTCTCCTCTCTCATCTCTCTCTCTCTCTCTCTTCATCTT